GGGGGAGGGGGTGGGGAGGCATATCTTTTCCAGCTCAGTAAATTCTATCTATATAAAGATTAAATGAATAACATTTTAAAAATTCTTCAGTGCAAGCAAATCCATGTTACCAACAATGTATTGTCTTTCTTATGCATACAGGGAGACCCACACGTTTTATTTTATTTCATTTTTCCAACTGTGTCTCCTTTTCAACATATTACCGTATAGAAGAGATACAGCATATACAGAACTCTAAGGAAAAGGAGGCCAATGGTTTCCCTCTTTTTACCAATTGTTTTCTCATCTTCTTTTTTTTTTTTTTTCTGTCCCCAAACACTTACCCATCTGAAAGATAAAGAAATGTTTCCACTGGATTAAAGTGAGCCCTGTGTTAAAAGAGCTTGCCCGAATCCAACCAGAGCCCATTTCTTTTAAACTCCATTTCAACACTGGGTCGGCAGTTCTGCCCTTTCACTCGCTTCTATCGGCGACTCCTCCAACCAGAATTCCCATCACCATATACCTTTGCCCTCAAGCTTGTACTAGTCCATTGCTTTTATATGTTTGCACTTAATTTGATTCCATCCTTCATGCTTTTTTCATTATTCTTAGTTCATCCACACCACATAAATTATCACCTTTGTGTTCAGTTCCCCATGTGCCCCATTCACACCAATTCCAAATAAATACTTCTGATTCTCATCCATTTGATCCAAATTAATTCACACTCTCTCTCCCCATCCTCCACCTCCACCTCCCCTCCTGTTTCTCTTGTGGCACCTACTTTTCCTTCCATGCTTATCTAGGAGGGAGGTTTTACAGGCAAAAGGCTTCCAGAGGATGCAAGGTGATTGCTTTCTGCATTGTCTTAGGAAAGCCGAACTCTACGGTGCTTCCACCTTCAATGAGCCGACGGCTGCACATCCAGATGCACTTTCCTCAACTGGTGTCCACGAGCATCGTCACCCCCTGCACAGGGTGACGAAAAAGGCTTCTTGCTTTTCGATGGTATTTAACTTTGGCAACGGCCTTATTTCCAGTATACATAGAGCTGTTTTTTCACACGATCATCACTAATCAATGGCAACAGCAATCCTACTAACTACAACCAACTCCACTACCATCTTTCATGAGCTCTTAAGGCCTGCCAAGTCTTTTACATACGTTTATTCATTGAGCCTTCAAAACAATCCAGAATGTAGACAAAATTATCCCTGTACTTTACAGACGGCTACACTGAGACTTAGGGAAGACAAAGCACTTAACCAGGTCACAGATCTAAGAAGCAGAGGAGCCAGAATTCAGACCGAAGTGCACCAAACCACAAAGCCCCACTCTTCACCACTCTGCAGTACTGCCTTTCAGTAATGCATGGTGCCTCCTTGGATAAATCCCCCGCGGAGAGGAGTCTTTCCACTAAAGTCCACCCTACGGCAAGTGGTTGCAGGTGCTGGGGAACATAATGAGCTCCACCTTGGTAATCGTTCCGAGTAGACGATGCCCAAAAAACAAAGCACCGAATAAGGGATCACTCCTAAGAGGTCTCCTTCTGACACGTCCGTTGGGCAAAGGGGATAGGAAAAAGGAGGAAATGCTCTGGACTCCCCCTTGGAAAAAAGAATCCTGCTTCCCCAGAGCCTTCCGGCCTCCATACTAGGCAGGATGTAGCCCGTCTCAAAGTCAATAATTCAACAATGTGTCCATACTCATGAATTCCACACCCCCAACGAAGCTCAACATTCTTGCCTCATCCTGCTTTCTTGGGTTTCCTGGGGAGAACAGGAAGTGAGTCACCAATGAAAGCCCGGGAGCACTGCAATATCTTGCCATTACTTTCCTCATTGACTTGAGAAGAAAGAAATATGAACAATGATGACCTTCAGGACACTCTCAGGGAGGGAAAGAAAGCTGACTCTCGCAGGGGATGTTAGCCTTGGTGTCTGTGGAGTGGACAACTCAGACCCAAACCCTCACGGGGAACCCTAAGTGGGCCTGAGCTGTGGGGTTCAAGAGTCACGTTAGGAGACCGTCCCATGAACCGAGCAGGAGCTACATAGGCAGTTAAGTGCAGAACTGGAGGAGTACGTGCCTCAGTCCTGTATAGCAAGGAAGCAATGTATTCTCATGCTCCCATGGGAATGGTTTTGAGGTTCAAAATGGTGATTTCTTCTGGACATGTATGCTGCATCTTACTTCAGGGAAGTACTCCTGTCCTGCACAAAGGCATTTCACGCCCCCCCACCCCAGCGCACCAGAGCCGCAAGGGGCCTTAGGCCAGTCTGCGTGACAGACGTGGCAAACGGGGCCCGGTGAGGTAAAGGGACATTCTCAAGGTCACAGAGCTAGTTAGTGGCAGAGTTAGAACCAGAACTAGCTAGTTCGTTTTTCTGATTTTCCAGCCAATGAACTTTTCACTGCACACGTCCTTGGTGGCACAGACCAAAACCTGCCGCAGAGCACCAGGAAGACGAGCTACAAGACCAAAAAGAACTCCCGCCAGCCACTTCTCCTGGCTCAAATCCAATCACGCATTTCTCTCTGGCTACACTCTCACTCTGCTGCTTCTGCTTCTGGAGCTCTTCCCTACTCAGTTGCAATGTACAAGCAGTATGCACAACCACACAGGCGATACAGCCGGGACTCATTTAAAAGCCACCAATGACCGTAATTGCTCCTAGGATGCTAACGCCAAGAAGAAACACCATCCCTAAGCTTGCGTCTCAAAGCACACGACGAAGACCAGGTGTCAAGGAAAATGCCAATCTCACTCTTTTCTCTATAAACCCCACTCTTCCAAATTATCCCATTGCTCCAAAGATCACTACGATTCCTGGGAATCACGCAGATAGTCCTGAGAAAAATATACAGTCCCCGCCAGTCCCTGCCCTCCCCTACCACACACATAGCAATGTAATCACTTTAGCAACTTCTCGGTAACAAGCTCATTAAAAAGCAATTCTGCCATCTCCCCATAAAGCACGCGCCAGAGAACAATGCAAAAGAGGAGATGCCAATTAATTATAGAATGATCACATCTAATGAACTCTGAAACCCTCCTGCTGTTGGTGACTTTGACGAAAAATCAGGGACGCCCCGACTACCTTGCGTAACTGTGAATTCTTTCAAATGGGCCTCCTCAGATTCCACGGTTGATCAAGGCTGCAGAACTACACTCCTGAAACACTGAGGAGTGTCGGGAGGTGACAAGTGCCCGGACGGCCGGAGCCCCCCCATTGGGGCATCCTTGGAACCGCCTGGTTCCACGCCGGGGTTGGCACGGTCAGCCCGGGGCCTGCACCCGGGGCCTCTGCGGGGGCTCAAGGTCACGCGTGCGTCCCTCGGCTGTCCCGCCCCCCGGCCCTCGGGCCTGGCTCCCACCCCCCGAGGCAGCACGAGGCCGCTCCTCGGAGCCCCGACGCCCTTCCCACCGCGAGGCTAGAGGAGGAGGAAGAAGAAACCACGTGCGGCCAACTTGTACCACTACCTGTGTGAGTCCTCTGGTGGGCCTTTAGGTGGGAGCTTTTTGTATAAACTTTCCGGCACCCGTTAAACTGACAGCGGTGAACCCTCTTCTTGTTTTCGGGGCACGCCTCGGCCCCCACCCCTCCTTGCTCGCTGTCGCTCTGTCCGCTCTTAACTGTCCCCGCTGCCGCCACGGCCGCCGCCGCCGTCGCCACCCCTCCCACCTTTACTGAGCCGAGCGCAGCCTTCTTGGCCACCAGTTTCAACGTCACCGTGCCATCCACGGCTGAGAGAGTCTGTGAGGTTTTGACCAGATGGCGGCTGAGCTCAGGGGACGAGGGGGGCGTTAATGAGGTCACTGCGTTGAGCTGGGCCTGGTTGACGGCCGTGTAGCTGTCGAGAGAAGAGCTGGTTGGCTGGAGGCTGAGGCAGGTCTCAGAGAGCAACTTGTCCCGAGAGAGCAGAATGTCCACGGCCGAGCTCTTCTCGCAGATGGTGGCTTCCACGGGGAGCAGCAGCGGGTCCAAGCGCCGGAAGCTCTCCTCAATGCACGGGGGAGGAGAAGCATGGAGGAAACAGTCCAAGTCCTCACCGAAGGTCTCCGAGATCCTCCTGGGCTCCGTCTGTAGGTAGCGTTCCAATTCAAGGCATGTCTGCAGGGGGGAAGGCGGGAGGGAGAGAAACAGCCATCAGAGGCAAAGAACACCATGAGGCCACATGTTGACAGGCAGAGCAGGGAGACACAGAGAATGGTTTCGCGGCCGGAGTCTGAAATTCTCTTGGTGGAAGGTCTGCCCTTGTTATTTACTCCCTGAAGGCTTCTGAAGGGTTCCTAAGGGCCACATCACGTGAGTTTAATGAAGGGGAGCTAGAGGCCCAGAAGGGCTGTCTCGCCCCGTCGGGATCCCAGAGAATATTCGGGGTTAAAGTCATCTCCTGCCCTACAACCCAAGTCGGCAGGTGAGATGCTCCAAGCAGCCCCAGGAGTTCCCGCGTAAGCAAGAGGCAAATAGAATCACGCAAAGTTTTTCATACCAAAACAAGACTTCCCGTACTCCACGTTCATTTTTCAAATAGACGGGGGCAAGTCACAAAAATAAGTCAATTTTCCAACCTGCCCTGAAGAACAAACCATACCCACCCAAACTAAGAGGTGACCTCGGCCACGATGAGCCAACAGCAAGCTCTGCCTCGGATTCCCTAGCTGGCAGGAACAGACACTGTTCTCAAGAATGCCTTTCACAGAATCTTTGATATATAAGACAAAACTCCCATTGTCTACAGCAAGTTATTCAAAATACGATTGCTACCTATTTTGTGGCAAGAAGCATGAGTCCCATTACAATGGTTTAGTATCTCTGACTATGTGATAAGAATAGGTTCAAACACAGCTACTTGACTTGCTAAAAGATAGGACCCAATAGATTTCAACGTAAAGCTTTCACCTGGTAAAGAAATAGAGCAAACTGAAGAGTTCAGAGTTGCAACAAATCTTCACCCATGGTGCTCCTCAGACTTTGTAAGGTGGTGGAAACGCTATTGCGGCAACAGTGTGGATATTTAAGTTGTACTAGAAAGCTCTCCTCACTTACAAATCCCGCTTTTCCAGAATCTTGTGTAAAACGATGGCACTAACTTGCACCATCAGCTCAATTTGCTCTGGTTTCTGGGCTCCGACAAAGAAACACTGATGACCAATTTAAAATGAGACTAGCTCCTAATTTACTGCCTCCGTAGAGCATCTTCGATTTCAACCAGTGTTCAGAATCTAGGCTTTTATTCTGTTAAGAATAGATTTTAATGATATGCCTCATTGTGCTGTATATGTTAAGGATTTTATTTTGGTGACATTTCAAAAGGTTGTTTTTGTTTTTGTCTTTGTTTTTCTCTTATCCCATTTATTCTCCCATATATTTGTAACAGAGATGCACTATCAGTGGGGTTTACCTTTCCCCGGATATAGAATCATAGAACCATGGAGTTTCAGAGCTCTTTGTCTGGATTTTATGTAGACTGTGCTTCTTTACCATGTGCATATGTCAGCATTTTACCTGTTTTTCTTAGACTGCATGAAATAGCCATTGCCATTGCTTCCCTATTTTGACAAGGTTCTAGCTGCATTTGCACTAGGCTTAGTACTTAACCTCTAAATCAGAATCCATTGATGGTCACTGCCTTTGGTATATTCTCTGCCAGCCTGCCCTTCAGGGCTTCCAGTCCCCATCTGTATCCTCGTGACATCTCATGCCCAACTTCTCCTCCTTGCTTGTCTCACTCCACTCCTCTCTGAATAACCCAAGCTCTACCTGTGAAGTTTTCTTTCCTATTTGCCAAAGTATCTAATACCATCGTATAAACTTTAAACTTCAAAATCTTTGAATCACTACTTATGGTCTCTCACTGGTTATACATTTATTTGTCTTGTGTCTTCTGTTTATTTTTTGTTAGTGTTTTTTATTGCGGTATAATTGACCTATCACATTGTATCATTTTCAGGTGTATAACATAATGATTCAATACTTGTATACACTGCAAAATGATCACCACAGTAAGTCTGGTTACCAAAAAGATTGGTTTTTAATCAGCCTTATGGTAAAACTCGGCATTAGCGAATAAGACAAAATAAGATTGTTAACTATGAATTAACTTTGGCTTTCACTGTTGACTTTTAATAGTATAAACTAATGAACGAGTCTAATCTCCATTCAACACTCATGTCACAAGTTTTCACTCAACTACTGTGTTCACAGCAAGGTACAAGGCTTTCTGTGTGTTGGAAGCAGATATTAATAGATCCATGCGAGGTAGGTGCGGAGTAAGAAATTACAAGCTAAAAATGACATGAATTTACAAAGCAAAGTGATACCAAATAACATAACATAAAGTATATTGATGAGTTCTTAGGGGATGAGTGGACAATGAATTCTACATTCTATAATATAATGGTATTAATCAAGAAAAGCTTGTGGGAAAAGTAAGTTTTGATTCTGTTTTACTTATTGATTAAATAATAGCTCTGGTTGAGTAGCTTCCCATCACTTCATATTTGAAACCAACACTGCCACCTTCTCAGGTCTAGAAATCTGCATTATCTTCAGTTACCCCTTTTCTGAATTCCAGGTCTCAAAAATTTCTTTTCCCTTTTTCCATCTCATTGCTAGAAATTGCCATTTATCTCTCTCCAATAATGAAACCCTCAGGCTTAGCTCCAATGAATTCACTTCTGAATCTTACTCCTAAAACCTCCCTTTAATCTCCTCTTCTCTTTTAAAACCCTCACCTACCAAGCACAGTGCCTGGCACCCAGCAGGTATATAATATCTATCAAACAAGGACAAAATCAACTTTATACTCTTACTTTGATTATTCTATCTCCTCCACTCCACAGAAGTCATCTCCTGACACCCTATCCTGGACCATGCTGAGACCAGCAATCTTAGAAATGAACACTAATACATGTCTTCTGGAACGTAACTGTAATGCTTCTTCAGCTTTGCCCAAAACTGATGAACCAGATCTTTGAGACACAGATATGTTCTGCGTAAAAATCAGCTGAATCATGGATGATAAGTTGTCCATCCTTGAGGCAGTTTTTTGCTTCACACACAAAGATTATTCCACAACATAGTCACCTCTGTCTTTTGATAGAGTTTCTGTATGTCATGTCTTCTTACATACTTTCTAGCTAGAAGATTTGAAAGCCACTAAGAAATTGTTGTGATCGTTAGGAAGCTCAGATCTCTTCATATTCAGAGTTGTGGGCAATGAGAGATTCTAAACACATTTACATACTTTTCTGGGAAGTTAAAAAAAAAATCTACCCAGTATGCCCTAGTTTAAATCCCAGGGGCACACAGGTCACACTAATGATCTAAAGATAGAGATACATCTACTAAAATGTGGGAAATGCTGGACCACTTAAGAGCAGCTATCATTTGCAACTCTAATGCAGGGCATTCTTATTCCATCTGAGAATCGGAGAAGCAGGAGTACCCATCAGGATGTGCTGGATAACCCTATGAAATCATTTTGTAATGGTTTTTGTCTTGAGAAATCCACTTCTTATAATATTCTACTTAGAGAGATGAGAAGATTTTGTTAATCAGAAACTCATCAGAAGTGCTGGGAAATAAAATGTCAAGAATGAGAATTTTAATGTTAGATTATTTATAAGCCAAAGAGAAAGTTTATCTCCAATGTTTTTCTTTAATGATTACAAGGACTCCCTTAAGAAATGACTCTGATGTTTAATTGGAATTTACTCATAGATGTTAATACATATATACAGAGAGAGAGGTTTATATAGAAATAAACATGTATATGTGTGTGGGGGTTTACATACATATTTCCTAGTTCTGTCTATAGGAAGAGTCTACAAGCAAAGACACCTTGGTAGCAGTGAGCACACCTACTATACAGATCTTGGTTTCTAAATATCATCATCCAATAAAGGGAACCAGGGCATATTGGAGAAACAGTTGATTCAAAGTGTGAGGCAAAGTAAATAAAAGATGAGCCTAGACTATCTTGTGGTACTGGAAGGTAAGGAAGTGTTCATAAAGTGGTAGATACATGTCAGAAAGACTCAGGAGCCAATTTGAAGGAGCTCTCAGTGGCCAAATCTGGACAATATGAGCAATAGCAATGAATAGTGATAATGTATTTTTAACACATGGAATAAAATTAATATCTATGAATCCATAGTGATAGAAATAAATAGTCGAATCAATAAACAAATGGAAAGGGTTAGCTTCTCCTTCTAATAAAACTATAATTAATAAACATAGAAGTGATGATGGAAATAGAAAATCACCATTAAGCAAACAAAAAAGTAATAATGACTACAGGCAAGAATCACCAATGGATGCTAAAATTAGTACATGAAACTATAATGAGAAGCAAGATATTTGCCAGTCTCAAAGTATCCCCCCCCCAACAAGGTGGATATATTTTGACTACATAAACAAAAATAATAATTTAACAGTAGAGAAGCCTGGCATGCACCACTTTAAATATACGATCAAAGTCAGCAGCACCAGTAATAAAACATAATCATATTTTGTACCCTGGTATGATAGGCTGCAAAGGGCACAAAATTATTCTATTCCATTCCTGCCAAAAACATATAACCTCGGTGTAATCGTGAGAAAACATCAGAACAACCCAAACACAGGGCCATGCTACAAAATAACTGGCTAGTATTCTTTAAACCATATCAAGATCAGGGGTGCCTGGGTGGCTTAGTCAGTTAAGCATCTGACTCTTGGTTTCTGCTCTGATCATGGTCTCATGGTTTTGTGAGTTTGAGCCCCCATCAGGCTCTGCACTGACAATGCAGAGCCTGCTTGGGATTCTCTCTCTCCCTCTCTCTCGGCCCCTCCCCCACTTGCACTGTCTTTGTCTCTCTCAAAATAAATAAATAAAAACTTTAAAAAATATATCAAGATCATGAAGAACAAAGGAGACTGAGAAGCTGTCCCTGATGAGGGGATTAAGAAGATATGATAACTAAATGCAATGGACTTTGGATAGGAAAAAGACTTGGATGGGAAAAATCATTTAATTCAAATAAAGTAAACAGATTAGTTAATGGCATTTTATCAATGTTAATTTCCTGGTTCTGATCATTGTACTATGGTCATGAAACATTAGG